AAAAGTCGCTCCTCATCATATCATACAATAGATCAACTTCATGAAAACTCCAAGGCTCCCATACCCGAAACGGATAGAGAAGCCTGTATTGCAAATTTCGTTTTCTCTTTTGGGAGGAGGGGGGGTTAAAAAAGCTATCTAGTTTATTTGTTATAATTCTATTTGCCTTCTGTTTATTATTTTTATCAGTTTAGATTTTTATGGATTGTAATCATAATTGCTGTTCTAAAAAATTAAGGTAAATAAATAGGAACACTAATATTGGAAGTCGCTGATCAGATGGAACACCTGTCTCAAGATGATGAGAAAATGGTTATTTTTTTTCTCTTATTCATGTCTATTTGTTTTTATCCTGCTCAATAAGTTTGATCTATTTGTACGTCTATTCTATTATATAATTTATAAACCTTCAATTTTCAAATAGAGTTGGAGTAGCTAAAATGGCTTTAGTTGTGATTTTTAGCATGTGGATGGCAGCACATTGTATTTTCTGTTAATGCTTTGTATGAGGGTTAAAAGGGTGGAATAGGGGCTGTTTTGCCCTATTGCAGCCTTGTATTTTTGTTTCTTTTTTTTTTTTTTGGAGTGGGTGGGAATTGGTCGGTTACTTGTTAAGTAGTGAATATATGCTTCATCCACTGCTGTGAGGAAGAAGTAGATTTTTTATAATCATGTACAGTATCTTTGATACCCACTATATAACTTTGTACATAGTCATCACAGAGTTTCTCTTGTATATAATATAATGCATATGTTGTTAATCTTTGACAGTATGTGAAGCCTATTGAAGGGTTTGCCCTGTGACTATTCTGTGGATGATTTTTTTAAGAGAGTAATGAGAGCTGAGCCACTTAAAGTGCACGATTGCCACTCTGTGCTCATATGTACCAGAAAGTGAAAGTGCAGTTGTACTAAGTTACATCTGTAGTTTATGACCAGTATTTTCGGAGGCACAGCTTCTTTTCCTGTACCCAGAGTTTGTTCTAGAAAGATGCAAATTTTATGCGCAAACTACTGCTAAGTGGATATTATTTGTGTAAGGTTAGGACAAAAAATGCCTTAAATTCAGTAAAAATATATGATCATTTGCAGTGCTAAATTATGTTATTAAGGTTGAATGTGGTTTGTTTGATTTTATAAAGCTGGAATATGATGTTTTCATATAACTTTAAGTGCCATACATTTTTTTTTTGTCATTTGATTTAAGTTGACAATATTACTTAAAAGTTGTCTGTTAAGATTATTTTATTGTTAAAACTTCATAGCAACTGGCAACTGAAGTCTTACAATTTTTATGAAGTATACACTCAAACATGTATACACATGCATATACACATGTATTCCACTTACACATATACTGTATATTTGTACACATGTATACACATGCATATACATAAACAAATACACACACAGACATACCCACACCAACACACACAGCCACACACACTCCACAAACTCTCTCTCTCTCTCTCTCCCTCTCCTCCTCTCCTCTCTCTCCCCCTCTCCCCCTCTCTCTCTCTCCTCTCTCCTCTCTCTCCCTCTCCTCCCTCTCTCTCTCTCTCTCTCCTCTCTCTCTCTCTCTCTCTCTCTCTCCTCTCTCTCTCTCTCTCTCTCTCTCTCCTCTCTCTCTCTCTCTCTCTCTCTCTCTCTCTCTCTCTCTCTCTCCCTCCCCTCCCTCCCTCCCCTCCCTCCCTCCCCTCCCTCCCTCCCTCTCTCTCTCTCCTCTCTCTCTCTCTCCTCTCTCTCTCTCTCCTCTCCTCTCTCTCTCTCTCTCTCTCTCCTCTCTCTCTCTCCTCTCTCTCTCCTCCCTCTCTCTCCTCTCTCTCTCTCTCTTTCCCTTTCTCCCTCCTCCCACCTTCTCCCTCCCTCCTTTCTCCCTCCCTCTCCCCTCCTCTCCCCCCTCCTCCCTCCTCCCTCCCGCCCTCTCCCTTCTCCCTCCCTCCCCTCCTCTCCCCCTCCCTCCCTCCCTCCCTCTCCCTTATATTTTTTTCTTTACTATAGTTGCTTATCTCTTAACATGTTGCTTTTTTTTGACAGCTATTCAGTGTCAGCATGTAGCTGATATTTTGTCGATAAAAAAAAAAAAAATCTTGGAATTTGGTGTTTCATGAGACCACAATTTTGCAGCTAAAAATTATAGGATAGCAGTCTTTTTTTTAAGATTTGCACTTTTAAATTGCAATTGTGTTTTGAATTATATACTATTAACCCTTACACACCATTAACATTCTCTCTGCTCTGTCCCTCTCTCTCAGTCTGTTTCTACCTCTCTCCTCTCTTCTCTCCTCTTCTCTCTCTCTCTCTCTCTCTCTCTCTCCTCTCTCTCTCTCTCCTCTCTCTCTCTCTCTCCCCCCCCCCCCCCCGTCACACACACACACACACACACACACACACACACACACACACACACACACACACACACACACACACACACACACACACACACACACACACACACACACACACAGAGTGAGAGTGTGAGATTGAGAGAGAGTGAATG